AAGATGTCAATTTTGTGAGTTATTTTTGGAGGACACTTTGGAAACTCTTTGGGACTAGTCTTAAATTTTTCTCTCCCTTTAATCCCCACACTGATAGTCGAATTGATGTTGTCAATCGTAGTTTGAGAGATTTGCTTAGGTGTCTAGTGGGTGAGAAGATGAAAAATTGAGATTTGTTGTTGCCTACTGCTAAATTTGCCTATAACAACTCCGTCAACAGGTTGACTGGTAAATTCCCTTTTGAGAATGTTTATAGTCATTCCCCTAGACAGCCTATTAATTTATTACCTTTATCTCCTGGTTCCCGCACTTCACAATCTGCCGAAGCTTTTGCCCAACATATATTATTACTTGCATGCCAACATATGACAGAAAATTACTTTAAGTAATGAGAATTATAAATTAGCTGTAGATGTTCACCGTAGGAATAAAGAATTTATTATGGGAGATTATGTCATAGTTCTTGTGCATCCTGAACATTGCCCTAAAAATTCTTTCAAAAAGTTACATACTCGAGCCATTAGCCTTTTTCGTATTCTTCGTAAGCTTGGACCTAATGCATATCAGTTTGACTTACCTTCGAATATGAGTATTAGTCCTATTTTCAATGTGGAGGACTTGTTTCCTTATTATGGTACTTTTGAGCCTCTCATGTTGCCAGTAGGTGTTCCTATAGGTGGAGTTGCTTCGTCATCAGCATCACCTACAACTCTTGTTCTTTCACCGTTTCCACCACAGTTGCATGATCAGATTGCAAATGTACTTGAAGATCAGATTGTTAGCTCCTTTAATGCAAGGTATTGTCGTTATCTTGTTCGGTGGAGAGATCGTCCAGAGACTGATGCTTCATGGATTACGGAGGAGTTTCGTCGGCTTGACCTTGATCTTCTAGATCATTATCATGATCGTATCTCTTCGGAGGCGAGTTCTTTTCAGTCTGGAGAAAATGATAGGAATCAGATTATATTTCGTTATAGTATGTGTAAACGTAGGGATTAGGAGTTATTTTTCATTTTGCTTTTCAGAGGCTTAATTGTCATTTTGACTATTTATTTATTTTAGGGTTTGTGCTCCCCTTATATATATAGGGGATATGGTATTTGTTTTTGATTATTATTGAATTCTGATATTGCTTCCTTCTCAAATTTTGTCTCTTTTCTCATCCCTTTCTTCTTTCCTTCTCATCCCTAATTCTTGCATTCCTGGTCTACATCAACAAGATTTGGCAGTTCTGAGTGGTGTCATGTGCTACTTTTACACATCTCTAGTGTTGTTTCCAGACTAAGCACATCAGGAAAAAAAAAAGAAGTTCAATACCCATCTCAAAGAGCTATAATTCTTTGACCTATCTGGTAAGGGAACTTCTTAGGATGCTCCCTCCTTGTTGGCTGCATAAGTCAATCATCTTGTTTTCTTTTAAAAGAAAAAACAAAAAATTCTCGGTAAGTATGGCTGGCCAGTTAGGCGTGTGATACTTGGGCAGTCCTAAAAGTAAAAGAGTTTGAGGTAGCAATAGAGGATCGTTTCCTTACATCTGTTTCGACATGCTGCTAGATTTGTTCCAACTTAAAAATGAATATATATTGCATATCTGGAACCTAGATAAAAAGCTAGCAATGGTATAGTGGCGAGGTGTGGACTCGGCGTGAATTGTAATATGAATATGAAATCCTGAGGTAGTGTATTATATGGCAGAGGACATTTCCCAATAATGCCTGTCAATTGGATGTTCCTTTATTTTGGGAAGATTGTATTGTACATGTACAGCGTTCATTTATTTAGATTGTGTGTATAGTTATTCCATACAAGTCCAAACGTTCCAGAAAAGCAGACCCTATACATGTTTATAATCCGGTTTTTGGTCATTATGCTGTTGTAGGATCTTTTTACCATTGCACTTGGTTGGATATTTTTCGGTGGACTTCCATTTGATATTGTGAGTATACATTCTACTCTTGCAGTCTTCATGTTTGCATGAATGAGTTTTTTAGTTTTTCTTTTTTGGATTTTGAATCTTGCTCCTAAAACTTAACTTTTACGGTTTTTCGTGTAGTTGAATGTTATTGGCCAACTTCTTGGTTTTCTTGGCTCTGGGTTGTATGCCTACTATAAGCTTATAGGAAAGTGAGTACCCAAGCTGCACAAAGCTAATGTTTCCCATTGAAGGTAATCAGTTGAAGCCATCACTTCTGTTCATGATTTTCATTCAACAATCATGTGAGATTTCCCGATTTTCAAGAGAAGACCATTTTTCTATTTATTATTTCTATGTAAAAAATCTAGAAATATTAAATATACATATAGTATATTATATTGTATTTTTCTAAACGAGCTTAACTTGTTCACGAGCCCAATCTCGGCTCTTTTATTAAAGGAGCTTTGAAATTGGGCTCGAGATCCATCCATATGGTAAATATCCGAACTTGAATGAACTCTAATACGAGCTGATCGCGAGTTGTTTATGAACAAAATGATTAATTTGCAGCCTTATATTTGACTACAACATCATAGAGATTCAATTCTGTATTACTTAAGCAGGGTAAAAAACATATTTTTAAGCCTTCTTTTAAGAGCATACTTCCAAGATTTTTACTAAATCATTAACCTTATGTATTGCATTTGACCCTTTTTTTGGTGATGTAATTTATTCAACTCATCCACTGGTGTTGGCCCCATGACTCTTATTTTTAACTGTAAACTATTATTTCCAAATAGGGTTGCAACTAAGTACTCTTAATTCTTAAATGACTGTAGTGCATGTGCTTATATAGTGTATTGTTGCTAGTATCAAGCAGGTCAGAGTAATGATATAATGAATAACTTATGTACCATTTGATAATATTTTTTTCGTAATATTAACCATTTCATAAAAAATGTAAAAACATGTTTAATTATTATTTTGCAACAGCGATGGATATGCATCTTAGTATGTAAATAACATTTATTTACGTGCACCGGTATACCAGAAAAAGCAGGAAAATTAAAATATATAAAAACAAACATTTCTTTTAAAAATGTACTTAAAACCTAAAAAGGTATATCAAAAAAGTATCTTTTTCTTGCTTTCTGTTATAATATTTGCTTTTACCCTACTATGTTTGTGTTCTAATCTTCGGTATTATCTCCGTTATTAGGTGTATGTACATCTGCATCCCAAAGGCAAAAACCCGAAATATCTCATAAGGCACAGCTGAAGACTAAAACACCAGTTCATACTTGCTTGGTTGGACAGGTCTTTGATACAGAGAACAAGAATTAACTATACAGGGACAAAAATGATGGCTAGATGAGGAAAAATACATGTCCTCGTCCCCTCCACCGCGCCCGGTTGTTGGGGTGGGGCGGGGAGCAATTTTTTTTTTTGAAACGAGGCTTGGTGATTGTCCAATTTTTGGATTCATTTTTACAGCTAAATTTTGATTCTCACATGGAATGGATGAAAACCTGAACCCTAGACTAGTAATTGGTGAAAAGGATGAGAAAGTTTGATTCAGATGTTCTGGAGTGACTTTACCAGGCTATATAATTGGACTTTACATACTAATGTAGTTGTTTCCTTCCCGGATGCTTAGTTTTGCCTAATATGTAACTGCTTGGCATTGAGTGTTCTGTCGCTTGAGGAAGTATGTGCCAAATGGTGTGCCTTCACAAAGCGGTAAGGCTATTTTCATTTTCTACAATGTGGGAATATGCCGGCGTACAATGAAGTATAGTCTCAGGTTGGAGCTTTCCTTTGTTGATGTCGGAAAGCGTGCTCCGTTCTCTCTGCTTTTAGCTCCCGATGGTCTTTTGTCTGGCCTACCTATTATTAACGTTCCAACAAAAATACTTGTATGCATCAAAAACCCTATGTTCGGCGGGGTAAATGCATTAAAAATGGACAAATTTTAGCAGATGGCACCGCCACAGTTGGTGGCGAACTCTCTTTGGAAAAAAAAAATGTATTAATAGTTTATATGCCATGGGAATGTTGTAGTTTAAAATCATACGTGGACATCTAATCTAATAAAGGCTATGCACCAGTTAATTCCTTCTAATATGGTTTATTAACATGGCTTGCCAATTAACAACTTGGCTATCATATTTGGCATCACTAATGTATGTGTCTTGTGTTATTTTAGTCCCGACAATTCTAATTGCATCAAATTAGTTCTTGAAGTATTGAAGTTTACTGTAAATAGTTCTTCAATATTATGGCAAATCAACTAGATTAAATGTATTCTCACCGACTCATTTTTGGTGTATGAGCGATTCTGTTCATACCTTGCAACATATTTTTATGTATTACATATTTAAGTCTAATTAATACAAAAGTGGAACAAATTTCATGACAAGTCGAGCAGTCCATCGCGCCTGAGACAAATCTACTTTAGTATGTCATTGATTGCTAGCATTGGTTTTTTTTTATCAATTTACAACACGTCCTCTTTGATTCATACTCGTTAAAGTAGATGTCACCAGCTAAGTGCATCTGTGCAAAATTATGAATTACACAAGAAGCAGACACAATACTAAATTGACATACAAACTTTATATTATGGCATTGTATTAAGTATCGGGAATCTTGTTTTTTAAGACTTCAAATCACTTTTTTCGATACTTTTGAAGAATGTCATTAGTTGAATAAACTCTCTAGATCCATGTAGTGCGAGTATCTTATTTCTAACATGTTTATGCATTATTTATCTATCACGTAGTACATGTCTAAAAAAATTAATATTATAATATTAATTAATGAATTTGACTAACATACCCAATAAATTTACAAAAAGAAAAAAGAAAAACCACACCAGCCTGTGGGTAACAATTGGAAAATTGGAAAATTTACTTCACGCTTCCATCCAAAAAATTCCTTCACCTTTCGAAATCCGTCCATAGCAGCTTGAGCGTACGCTCTTAAAGTCGCGTGAGGATAACCGTTAACTCCTTCGAACCTTAATTAACTGTCGCAGCTCCCAAACCCAAAACTCTAAAAAGGCACCCAACAGAAGAGCAGGGAGAGAGGCTCTCTCTCTCTCCGTCTCCGTCTCCTTCTGTTTCTCTCTCTAGAATTCCCCCGACAAAAGCGAAACCCTAACCCTGATTCATCATCAAAGAATCTCAAGCTATATACATATACATATAATATGCGTCTATTTATACATATAAAATGAAGTCATTGTGATGGAATGGTGAACATTTCGTAGCAAAGATTTCGAAGAACTCATTGTTGGGGGTTTCTATAAGTGTATAGAGAGACAGGGGGCACTGGTATTATGCAATCCTTGGAGCGCGACCTCGAGGGCGATTTTTCTGCAAAGGTTACGTACACAAGGAATGGGTCTTTGTCATGTGCAGTCCCTTTCTCTCCATTGTTGCTCATTGAAAACATCTCGAGGAAGAGCTTTTCGTATAATCAGCTCCCTCAGGAGCCCCTTGAACTCACCATTCTCAAATTAGATGGCTCTTGCTTCGGTATCATTTCTTCTATATAGCTTTCGAATGTAGATGATTTTATTGATTTGAATGTTAATGGGATCGAATGAATTGTGATGGTTGATTTTGCAGATATTCTTGTAGCGAAAACAGCGACGGTGGCAGAGCTGAAGCAGGCGGTGGAAGCTGCCTTTAGTCATTTGCCCAGAAAAGAAGCCGGCAAGATTTCATGGTATATGTGTTCATAACAAATTCGTTCTTTCTTTCTTTTTTTCGATTTTGGGAGGGTGCTGAACTTGCAACACAATGTAACTGAAATGTGGTTGATCATTCCCATGGAAATCAAGCTGCCTAATTATTATTCATATTTTAAGTTATGATAGACATTGATGATAAATGATGTGGATATAATGCAGAACTAAGGCAATGCAGCAAAAAATTCTAAAATGAATTCGTAGATCGAAAGCTATTTAAGATAGATGATTCCTTTCAGAAGATGGATCCATATATTTAAATGCTTCACAAACTGCATCAGAGCCATATGATTGCCAGCCCGCCCCCGGTTTTTATTTTGTTTGTGGTTTAATATTGTCCAAATTGTTTTATCACAGTTTTCTAGTTTTGTTAGAAACATTGTATTTAACATAGTATCTTCAAGTTAGTTCTTTTCAAATACATTTGATGTATTGGGAGTTTGTGGAGTGTTTTTTTAACTTGTTTTTGTTCCCGAGTATTGTTAGCATTGACTTGTATTCTTTCCTAACCCAAAGAAGGATTTGTGTTCTAAATTGATTCTGTTCATGAAGGCCGCATGTATGGGGACAATTTTGCTTAAGCTATGATGGTCAGAAACTGCTAACTGACAGCGATTATATAGGAGCTTATGGAATCAAGGATGCTGATCAGGTACAATTTGTCATAAATATTGTATTTTTTTGGTACACATGGAACATCGGGTTTGTTAGGCTCAAACATAAGTTTTTCATCCTGTAAGTGCTTCCCTTAGCAACTGGGGCAGGGTCTTGGCATCTTCAACACTTGTTTTACCTGCGCTCTACAACATACCAACTCTCACCTACTTGTTTATATATGTTCCTTATTGGGCATGCCCCATTTGTTTATAACTGCAATCACAGGTTCTACTCCACCTTAGGTTTTCGGGGCATTGAATTCTGTAATTTTAACTACCTTTTAAATTGTGTGCATATTTCAAACTTAAATTTGATTCAAATTTAAGTCTGGAATCCACTGAATTTTTTTCCTCTCTTGGTGGTGTCTAGCAACTTAAGTTTTCTTCTTTTCCTCTTGGTGGGTGTTACTTCTAAGTTATCTTCAAAAAAAAAGTTTCTACATTGCATTGCAAAAGTGTTATTGCTTCTGTTATCCTCATTTTGTGATGTTGATGATTAAAAGAGCTCATATGCAGAGTAGGTTAATTGATGCATTTGGGCTCATTTGGATATTTGCCATTTTTAATGCTAATGATAAAATGTTAATCCCTGCAGACAACATTTAGAACAATGAAATTACTAACCATCTGGGGCAAAATAACAGAGGAAAGTAGCCTTCTAAGTTGCCTTAAGTTTGCACTTCAAATACAAAATACAACAGTGAATCTAATAAAGTAGTTTCAAAGAAGTGTTATAGACGGAAGCTTTCTTTTTGGGTAACTCAAGACTTCAATTTTTGTCCTTTAGCAGTAAATAACATTCAGATGACTCTAAATAATTTTGAAATTAAAAGAGCGTGTATAAATTCCAAAGATAAAGAGATTGGATAGAGGTAAAAACAGAAATATGCCTCATACCAACTTTCTTTCTTCCAAAAGAATTCCCATGTGCACTGCATTAGTTTATAAGCTAAATTATAAAACAATACGTTTGTCATGATGAAAAAATTTGTTCAGATAATGTATGGTCATCAGACACTTAAAAAGTTATTTTCAAGATTGTTTGTTTAATTTTTTTAATGTGTCATCTCAATAAATGTTCATTATTTAAGTTAGNGTTCAGATAATGTATGGTCATCAGACACTTAAAAAGTTATTTTCAAGATTGTTTGTGTAATTTTTTTAATGTGTCATCTCAATAAATGTTCATTATTTAAGTTAGCTTACACGAATGTACATTTTTTGGGAATTTGATGTGATCAACATGTAGAAGTTATATTTTCTTTCCCAAGTATCTCATAAATAGATGTAGCATTGGTAGATGTCATGTGGTAGCAATGCATGCAAGAGGGATTCTTATGCGGAATCAGAATTGGAAGAAGACCAGACAAAGCTTTAATAGAATTACCCGTCCGAAGTTAGCCATGGACAAAATTGATTTCTTTCAGATGTTTGGCCCTTTTTGCACCTGCTGTAGGAATTACAGTGGCTGCTTCGAGTCTTACCCCATGAAGGATGTGTTTTCATTGGAAAAAAATGACAAACCAAGCCGCAAGGCTCTTTTTTTAGCTTTCATATGACAGTGGGCAGAATTGTACAGCGAAGATTAAGGATGATACAAATATTTGGAAACTACTAATGAATAAAAATTCTTGGAGTTCGCAAAGCAAGCCAGAAAGAATGACGTGGATGCAAAAACCCATGTGAGACCTTGGTTGGAACAATTCTAACCCTGGACCAAAGAGATGCAAATAAGCAGATAATTGCTTGGGTTCTCTTGAATACTCTGCTCCAACTCAACTGAACACTACTGAACCTTAACCCAACTGTTTGGGATCGGCTATATGAATTGCATTACCATGGGTAACTATCACATCATTCAAAGTTAATGTCACCATTGTATGTCTGAATACTGTTGACAGATAATCATCCCCAACATGCGGCCAATGCTCTGAATAATGATGTATTAAGATCTTTGTTTGGAGGAAGAACTATTCCTTTTCAACTCCACGCATAGCTGGTTTTGGATAGTATGATGTTTGAAGTGGTTAGAAATATGTGAAGTGCTTCTCTTTATGACACACAGAATTCTTGAAACAGGTGAATTTGCAGTTGGGATTAAATTTAGGTTCATCTGACAATGTAAAGGGGGGATTTTGTTGGCAAACGGCATTAATGTGCTTATATAGCTGCACCTCTTCTCTTTATTCATGGCCATTAGAGGCCAAAACTGGAGTTTGTTTCACATTCCCCTTAGTTTTTTCTGTTATGGATTGTTGGATGGGTATGTTGCTACTTTATACATGTTTTTTGTTTCTACGAATCAGAAACATGTATTTAATAGGAGATAGCTCCTGCACATTTGTTCTTGTGTACTAATAATTCTTGTAACGGCATGTGCAGCTTCAATTTACTCGCCATGTATCCACTAACTACAATTTGGTAAAGGCACGATCAGTCAAACAGGCTCGTGCCTCCAAACATCCCAGGATGTAAGTTCTTTCTATGATCATCACCGAAAATAAAATGTTGTTATAGGTCATATGTATAAGCGCTTGTTTCGAAACTCTTTTATTTCTTCATATTTTAATAGCTAAAAGGCACACCGGTTCTGTTTTGCTGTAAATTCATGTCAGCAGGCTAGAAGCATGCAACACTGTTGACTTTTCATATTCATAGATCTGTAGGTTTTGTTTCTTTGGTTTGAAAAGTTGATCACATACTTTGGATAATTTAGCCCTCTTTTAACTTGTAGAACCTATTGATCAAGATTATGAAACCTCAGCTAACTTCCTGGTGCAAAGGTCATCGTGCAGATCAGACTCTGAAGAGAGCAAACAGAATGGTGAGGAAGATGAGAAGCATGATCAAGAGGGATTAAAGCAGGATCAGGATCAGGATGATGATGACGATAAGGGTGTTATAACGCATTGTGAATGCAAGTTGACTCACTTGTTGAGGGGGTGGTTCTCATATCGCAGGTTGGCAAGCTCAGATATGAGATTTGAAAAGAAGAGTAGTCTATCTAGATTCACCAGTGGTTTCTTAGGAAGTTTTAAAAACATTTTACGGGTTTATGGTAACAAATATGATTCTGAAACTGAGATTTTGAAATGGGAGTAATGATCGGGCATATTTGTGCTGCTGGGAGGAGGGACTGCTGAACTGGTTAGTGGATTTAACTTCAATCAGCATTTGAATCTCACTGAAGCTCCAAATCCATAATGTTCCCATTGTTCTCTCCCAGTCATGAAAGCTGTTTCCCTTGTTAATTTTTGTTCGCATGTCTAAATTTACTAGTAGAAATGATTCAAATTGGCTCTGTGATTGGCAATTATTAGTTGTTTGATGACATCTGAGTTTGGAATAAGAGCAACTGCTTGATATTGAATGCTTATTTAGTGGACAATAGAATTGTTGGTGATAATGGTCCATTCTGTGTCATATGCAGATGGCAATTGGTTGTCTCGGGGCAGGTTTAGGTATATAAGAAACTAAAGTTAACCGTTTCTTACGTACCGAATTAGGATGTGTATTATTAGCCTTATGTGGTGCAAGTCATGTAAGAGTTTGGGATGTTGTGATATTAGCGTTATTCGATTTATCATAATCTTCGCCTTTCAAGTCCTTCCCACAGATTTTGATTACTCACATTCGCCCCTTAACTATTTGAATTTGTTTCCCACTATCCTAAAAGCAAATATTTAGGGAAAATTTCATCCATNGATTTTGATTACTCACATTCGCCCCTTAACTATTTGAATTTGTTTCCCACTATCCGAAAAGCAAATATTTAGGGAAAATTTCGTCCATACCCCTCTAATTAGGTCTAAATTTAATGACATTTTTTCTCGATTTTGAAACTTTATTGCACCTCCTTTTGGTCATATTGATAATTTTTAACACTGTCAGTACAAAAAGTAACGGTTTGACTTTAAATATTTTAAAAATATCAAAATTACTCTTCCTTATGTAAATATACTAAAATGTCGTCAACTTTTTTCCCACTATATGTATCATATCTCATTATTGTTCTTGGAGGTGAAAAACGATTTTATGTTGCTGGAAGACATAGGAGACTGAAGCCAACTATTCTTCTTCAACTTGTTTTTCAAAGTAATCGTTCACTACCTAAGTTGGTAATTTTTTTTCTTGCAGATTTGTAAATATNAAGCCAACTATTCTTCTTCAACTTGTTTTTCAAAGTAATCGTTCACTACCTAAGTTGGTAATTTTTTTTCTTGCAGATTTGTAAATATTTTTCATGTAGATTTTTTTAAAAAAATTTATGCAGTTTTTTTTTAATTTTTTTTTTCAGGCAAATATTTTTAATTTTTTCATGCAATTTTTTTTATATTTTTTCGATGTAGTGTTTTTATTTAATTTTTTTTTCATGCAGATAGTTTTAATTTTTTTCATGCATTTTAAAAAAAAATTCATGTAGATTTTTAAATTTTTATCATGCAATTTTTTTTTTTTTAATTTTGTTCATGCACATTTTTTAAATTTTTTTCTTCCATTTTTTTATGTCAATATATTACGATGGATTATTGTAAGATTGATGTTTTCTTCAACTGTTGGCGGAGGCTGAGACATAGGGGACGAGGTGTTTAACATAAGATATAGTTATAAACCATGTTACTGTGAGAAAAAAGTTGTGGTTAAGATAGTGAAATCTAAGAAGCCTAGTAAAGGAAGACTGTATTACAATTGTGAAAAATGGTCCTGTAGATTTTTTGCATTATGTCATTTGATATCTACTGTACAACTGATCGCCCAAACCTGAAAGGTATGGAATGAGGCATTGCCATACAGAGACAAATGTTGAATTGAATGCTTTAGCTGCAAGAGTGAAGTCGATAGAAGGCACCCTACAATGCATGAAGAAGATGATGACAGTTGTAATTGTGGTTTTAGTGTTACAGCTTTTGGTTGGAATGAAGTAGTTGCAGACTGATATTTTTTGTTGTGCAAATCTGATATTTTTGTTCTATGTAATATGACTGGTGTTTAAATGTGTTAATACACATTGTAGTTATGATTTTGTAACAATATTCAACATACATTGCAGTTCTGACTAGTATGCAATCTACCTAGTATGATTTTGTTACACATTGCAGTTTTGACTAGTATGCAATTTGCCTTCATTTCTATACATTAATAATAGTTACAATATTTAGCATCCGTGTGCAATTACAAATTNAACATACATTGCAGTTCTGACTAGTATGCAATCTACCTAGTATGATTTTGTTACACATTGCAGTTTTGACTAGTATGCAATTTGCCTTCATTTCTATACATTAATAATAGTTACAATATTTAGCATCCATGTGCAATCACAAACTNTAGTATGCAATCTACCTAGTATGATTTTGTTACACATTGCAGTTTTGACTAGTATGCAATTTGCCTTCATTTCTATACATTAATAATAGTTACAATATTTAGCATCCGTGTGCAATTACAAATTATTCTGTTGTGACATTTGCAGTTATTTTGAACAAAAATTTACAAGTAATCTATTTTGCATAACCATTCATTCTACACAAAAGTCCTAGTCTATTCCTAATTTATTCCTGTGTTAAACCAACTATATTCAAGTATCCACACCAGGAATAAAAACAATCAAAAAGTCAACATGGATAAAATGATCAAGTCTCAACAGTTTGTGTCTCCTCCATGCCCATGCCCCTACCTTTCCTTCCTATGCCTCATCCTCTTCTTGTGTCNTTAAACCAACTATATTCAAGTATCCACACCAGGAATAAAAACAATCAAAAAGTCAATATGAATAAAATGATCAAGTCTCAACAGTTTGTGTCTCCTCCATGCCCATGCCCATGCCCATGCCCCTACCTTTCCTTCCTATGCCTCATCCTCTTCTTGTGTCACTGACCCTTCAATGTTCTGATTTTCTTGTGGCAAGCTACGCTATGTTGTTGTCCCTTCAATTTTCTGGTTTTGTGGTGGCAAGATAGGTTGTGGTGTTGACATTTCTATGTTATGATTTGCTGGTGTTCATCTTCCCTTGCCCTTACTCTTCCTTCCTCTTCTTTTGCATAAACTAGTCCCTCCAGTTGCAGATACCTAATAAGTATGGAAAAGTGAATTAACAGTTTGTATATGTTGTAAATTAAGTAACTAAAAAATGAATGAATTAGTACATGTTTAGATGTCAGTCCAATTCCAAATTCTGCTTGTGGTGTCAATGATGTCACTGTGCTTGCTTGGGAAGTTGCATGTTCTACTCTCACAAGAGCTCTTTGACATGTCCTCTTATTATGACCAAACTCTTTGTAAATTTTACATTTCACATTTAAAGACTTCCTAGCAAAACTAATATGTGATGCTGGCTCATCTGCCTTTTTCCTCCTATTNTTCCCTTGCCCTTACTCTTCCTTCCTCTTCTTTTGCATACACTAGTCCCTCTAGTTGCAGATACCTAATAAGTATGGCTCATCTGCCTCTTTCCTCCTATTTTTTTTGGGTCTGTCTAGGAGTCTTCTTAGAGGGGGAGGAGATAGCATATCACCAACTGTAGGTGCCCATTTTCTTCGGTCTCGAATGGAGTGTATTATTAGTTCATGAGCTTTTAATATTGCCTCTTTCTTGAAGAAATCATGACAGTATTCCTCAATATTCAACCTCTTGTGTGCAATTGCCTATGCTGCATGCTTACATGATATGTCTGATATATCCCAGCTCATACAATCACATTTTTTTTCATCAAGTATCTGTATGTTTGTTATCCCATTATCCCTTATCTCATAGTGCATTCCACCTGCATGCACTACAAAATATGANAATGGAGTGTATTATTAGTTCATGAGCTTTTAATATTGCCTCTTTCTTGAAGAAATCATGACAGTATTCCTCAATATTCAACCTCTTGTGTGCAATTGTCTGTTCTGCATGCTTACATGATATGTCTGATATATGCCAGCTCATACAGTCACATTTTTTTTCATCAAGTATCAGTATGTTTCTTATCCCATTATCCCTTATCTCATAGTGCATTCCACCTGCATGCACTACAAAATATTATCTTGACTTAACAATGATTTTGTTAAGTTTTTTCTTAACATTCTCTGTCATTAACCCTTCATAACTGTTGCCCCTCTCATGCCTATGTTGAATCCTAGTCATAAATTTGGTTCTGTTATCATCCAACAAATTAATAATAGACTTTGACCTCAAAGATCCTATCCTTGATTCTCCACATTGGCCAAAATTCTCCACATTCTCCACATTTCCTAGGTTCTCCAAACTACCCAGATTTTCCAAACTACCCATATTCTCCACACTGTTTCTATGAACAATATTGTTTCCAATTTCTTCTGGAATAACATGTATGTTTATGTGTTTTCTATTCTTGTGCCTACTAAACATCTTCATTACATCTTTGTCATCATCTACTAACATTCTATTATTTGAACTAGACAGTTCACAAAATAACTTGAACACTAAAATGCTGATGAACACAATATAAATACATTTGATAATAAGTGCACATGACAATATTTATCTAGGTCAACGTTCTGTGCCATGTACTATTGCCCATCAAAGTGTATGAACAAGCCAATCAACTTAGCAGCCATTTCTACAATAATTTCAAATACAATAGCACATTCAAGAAATGAAGAAATTCATCTATATAGCATGTTTGAAACAAAAAGGATTTTTAGAAAACAAATATGAAACAGAAGCCCTAATTTCAACACTGTTCTAAGCCCAAATTTCAGTTCTATCTAAACCCTTACTCAATATCTATGGAGAATGCATTAGAATTCCTTGAACTATGTTCAGTATGAGGACAAAAGATGAAAAAAATCCCCAAATCCAAAAAATATAAACCTAGATAAAAAAATGTAAAGAAAAAATTCAAATTTATTCGGTACATACCAGAGAATCTTCGATACTCACTCTTCAAACAATTCGATTTTTGGAATCGCAAAGATTTTCCAAGCTTTCACCAATTTTCTTCCCCTCTTCTCTCTCTCTCTCTCTTTGTTCATGCAAGAGATGATTAACCTATGGGAATACACATAGACAACATGGGTTGGGTTAGGTTTAATAAATAGGCGAGGTTAACTAAACCAAATCATAGTTAGCCATATAACTTAAATAGGTACATGGGCGGCTTAACATATTTGGGGGCCTTGGGCAAAAATTTTAAATTTGGCCCTATTAATATTATTTACAATTATATAAATAATTGTCAAAAATTAAATTATTTAATATTTTTTATTTTTCTTTTTTGAGATTCAAAAATATTAATTAAAATTTTAAATTAAAGTTTTACACATTAAAATTCAATTAAAAATTTGAATCCTTGACCAAATATAATTAAGTTAATTTATGTTAAAGAAAATGATAAAGAGAATGAAAATTTAAACTAACTAACAAAATGAATTTTTTTCAGAACAAATGTAAAAGTTAAAATTTGTGTAAGTTAAATGATATTAGAATATGTGAACACATGTTTTAATATTGCAGAGAACCATCAAAATGTTTTAACTAATAAATTTTAGCAAGACAATTATGGTCATAATTAGTTTCAGATAGTGAAATATTTCTACTTACTCTATTCTATAGTCATTTTTATATACTTTAAAAAAATAATTAAGTAAAAATCTATCCTAAATTTGAAGTAACCTCAAATTTAATCTAAAAAAATATAAAGTTAGAATATTTAACTATTAGTTGATAGACAATGAATTATGCAATTTTTTTTTTTTTGATAATAAGATAGAAAAATATTTTATTAGGTGATAACACATATTTTTCATATACCATAAACATTGAACAAAGATAAAATACATAAGCTCAAACTTTAGGGCCCTAAATGTTTTTGTAAGAAATTCAAAAAATTTTACAATACTACTACTTATATTTAATCTAGGGACCTAATTTTGACACTTAATAAATTATGGTTATTTCATTTTTAGTAAACTTTTTCAATGGTATATTTTCTTACTAATTCAATGGTAAAAATGCATTACATTCTCAAATTAAATCCAAAAATTAAGTCTAGTAAAATTGTATAAAAATTTAATTTGAGACCCCAAAATATTTGTCCTATTTGGGGGGCGTAGGCAATGACCTAGTGCATGGGCCAACAATGAATAGGTATACATTCAAAGAATGTATAAAATACTTTGAGTTATTTTTGTAAATCAACCCTAGCTTTTAACACTATTACCAGAGAAGGCCTGACAAGGGATGACATTGAAATTTCAGAATCAGAAATATGTTTCATTAAATTTTTACCTAACTAGAGAAGATGTAGATAAAAATTTTTCAAACATTTACCGTCTTATGATAGAACATAGGTAGGGGCAAAAGTTAAACAAAATAATGTAGTTTGAGGGGCAAAGTGACACAATTGTCCTTCAAAATGTATAATGGACATTGAGCATAAGGATAGAGTTAATCTAATAACCATAGTTAAAACTTAAAACATACAATGCAAATAACATGATATTTAATGAGGCCATGTGATTTGGAAAAGATAGATAAGAGGGTGGGCTAAAGTGTAATTTTCCCCTCTCAGAATTTCATCCCAATCTCATCATTTTGTGTGGCATAGAATGAGATAGCCTTTCTTAGATTTCCACTCTCTTTCCTCCTCACACTCACACCCAAAACCACACCACTCCTCCACAGCTCCAAAATCACACACATACACAGAGTGTAGTACCAGCAGCAGAGGTTCCAATGGCCAACATGATCATGGCCTCTTCCAAAACCCTAATCACATCCTCCTCAACTCTCCCCCCTACCCCAAAACCCAAACTCTCTCTCCCCAAACTACAACTACCCAACTTCCCAAACCCCCCAAAAATTCTCTCTCTTCCCCTCCCCACCACCACTCCCACCGCCCTCAAATCCATCTCCGTCATACTCGCCACTTCTCTTGCGGCGGCGCCACCTTCACTCGCGGAGGAGTTCGAAAAAGCCGCCCTCTTCGACTTCGACCTCACACTCCCAATCATAATGGCCGAATTCTTGATCCTCATGTTCACACTTGACAAGCTTTACTACTCCCCACTTGGGAAATTCATGGACGAGAGAGACGCGGCCATTAAGGAGAAGCTGGCGAGCGTGAAGGACACGTCGGCGGAGGTGAAGCAGTTGGAGGAGCAGGGTACGGCGGTGATGAGGGCGGCGAGGGCGGAGATATCGGCGGCGCTGAACAAGATGAAGAAGGAGACACAGGTGGAGGTGGAGAAGAATTTAGCGGAGGGAAGGAAGAAAGTAGAGGCTGAGTTGCAGGAGGCTTTGGCTAATTTGGAGAAACAAAAGGAGGAAACTGTTAAGTCTCTTGACTCTCAGATTGCTGCTCTTAGTGATGGGATTGTCAAGAAGGTCCTCCCTCTCTAATTACTCTTTATCCCCCTCTAATTTTCTGTATTTAGAGAGAGAACATAAAGGTTTATGTGATTATAATGACTTACAATCCTTTTGTGTGTGTGTGCCTAGAATTGGATTAATGTGTACTGATTCTATGAAAGAATTGCATATTATAATTGTGAAATACATACTTAGTTTTGGTCGTTTTTAGCTTCTTGGTAGCCTTATTAGCAGCGCACCCGTATAGAATATATTTTTTAATTTTTTTTTTCTCTTTCCCTCTATCATTTACTGAATAGTAAAAATAATCTTTTTTTTTAATTAATTCAAAAAAATAGTGATTGGTTGGTGTGAAGTTGTGGGATGGGATGGTTACAAATGAAACATAGTAAAATGTGATTGGAGAGGGTCTTAATTTAATAATTAAAATAAAATAAAATAAAATTCTATGAATTTAATACATGACCAGGGAAAATTTGTCAAGCTTTATCCTCTCTAATTAGTTTATTTTGTACACACATAGATTGTGTCCTTGTTCTTGTGAATTTGGATGTTGTCTAATTGAGTTTTGAATCATACTTTGTTAAGCATATGATTAATCTATCTATCCCACTAAAGCATATATATGCAATGACACGAATGTTTCCAAGATTGAAACTTACTAGAGGCAAATTCTTTCGATTGGGAAAATTTAAGAAAAAAGACAAGTTTTGGTTGGACAAATTCCTGAACATCTAACTATAACTTCATATCAAATCAAAAAAAAAAAAAAAACTATAACTTCATAGATTATATATATATATATATATATATATATAATGATGTGTGGTTGCACGTGCTTGCCAGTTTCGGAGGGAGGGAGGGAGGTGGTTTGTAAGAGACAGAAGACAAATAAGATTGGGTGTTTGTATTAGAGCTTTAAGCATTAATCTTAGAGCAATGCTATGTTTTCTTAAAATAATGACTTTATCAATCACAATCATTGATTTAATTATGGGTCCGAGGATTTATTGAAATTCATTACCTATTCAATAGTTGTGATCGATTAAATCAGCATTTTAAGTTCAAATAATATTTTTCTTAATTTTATTGATGTCCTTCTTTTTGAAATTAATTATTTTTTATCTCCTTGTGGTTTCAGCTAGAAGTACTTTACGTAGTTGACATTATGAATCCTCGATAAGAGAAGAGTTGTAGTGGTCTCCCCTAGACTGCTTAGATTCCACGAGTGAATCGAAAGGTGGATGGATCTACATTGAATCTCACCTAAATCGCTCCATTTATCCTTCTAAGGAAAAGTTTGGTTTTAAACCCTGGTTCGAACAGGAAGAGTACACCATGCTAATGTGTCTTAAATGATCCATATCTCAGGATCAGGTGTCTATGAGTACATTGAACTATCCATGTGGCTCACAATCGTCACAGCCCAAGCACAACGACGGAATTATCAGTGGCACGCTCTACCACTGAATTAATAGTTCGTCGTGTGAACCTCCCACTAGGGCCCCACTATGTCAAAAGTGAGAGAAACTCCATCCACTTCTTTTCTTTTTTCGCCTCCATGTAGTAACCCGGGGGGACATGGGGACAAAAAAAAGGGATCCTATCAACTTGTTCCGATCTAAAATAGTAAACTCATGAGTTTGGTCTTACTTCATTGTCGAGAAACGAAAGAAGAATTTCATTTCCAAATTTCACTTAGAGATAGCTCCCTTCTTTTTGGATGTGAAGCAATGTCAAATCAAAATACCTAACAAACGTTAGCTCTCCTTGAAAATGAAGTGATCCAACCACATCTTCCAGTATGACTACCTTGTTACGACTTCACTCTAATCACTAGCCCTGCCTTCGGCATCTCCCCTTAGAATTTGGTAACTTCAACTTCATTAACAACTACTTATGAATTTTTTTTCGATTTACACCCATTATCTCAAGTTTTGGATCGAACTAATTCATTGACACAAATAATTCATGGGATAAAATTGAGTTATTTGGGACCGGGAGGATTACTAGAACAGATTATTAGTTTTCAAATAAGAGATATTCATCCTAGTCACTTGGACGTATTTGCCCGATTGACACATCTAAAGGAATTAGTATTGGACTAATTGAATCCTTACCAATTCATGTGAGGATTGATAAAACACCCGTACTCCTTTTTGTGAAATTTTTGAGAGATCAAAAGGAGTACGAGTGTTTTATTCATCACCCCATAGAGATGAATACTATGTAGTAGCGGCAGGACCTCTTTTCGTCAACCTTTCTATTGGAGCTAACTATAGAGCAACCTTTTTCTATGCTTTATTTACTGTAGAGGTTTGGAACCCTCAACAACTTGACCTTACCTACCAACAGACTTACTACTTACTCTCCGACCAGTCTTTCTTCGGTCACTTCTTCGAACGATTAAAATTATGCATATTACCCCTTTATAATTATGTATCAAAATAAAATATTTATTTTTATCATTAAAGTTAATGAAGAGTGTGCTCCACACGTCTAAAACATATTGTGGGCTTTGTTTTCCTCCAAAGAAAATTGTCTAAGTGTGTAAAATACTTTTTATAATATATGGTATAATACACAAATAGGTAGGGTATCGATTCCGAATCAAAATACATGTAAGAAAAATATAAGTGATTTTCAGTTTCTGATCAAAACCTCACTGTTTGAAATGTGTTGATTTATTGTCACATTCTATTAGTTTTATGGTTAAGAGTAAATCACACAAAAATTTTGATTTTAAAACGTGGTATTATGACAATTTTTTAATTCCATTAATGGAGTCAATTACTTCATTTTAGTGTATAAGTATAAGAGAATAATGTACATAATTTTAAACATCAAGGAGGTAAGATATTTCTAATGAAACTACATAGGGTAAAAAATAATTAATTCTTCTTTTTATTATGAAATGAGTATTATTAATACAATTTAATAGAATAAGGGGTTCTTGTAAAGGACATGCACCATGCTCTTACATCTAAAAGGGGTTCTTTGTTGAGCATGGTTGATGTCAAAGTAACTACTTCAACATCCACAATGTTGGTATATAAGCCAACCACAATTCATGCCCACTATACAATATTTATAAGAGATTTCGAGGTTTTTGTTGATTAGACAACACTCGAATTTGAACTGAGAAAAAGGATTGTGGTAGAGCCATGCAAATAGATTGTGAGTCAAAAACTATCATTTGAAAAAAGTTTGGCAATGGGATATCACTATTTCTTGAATTGAAAAAAAAGATATTTTGTCATAGTCTTTCATTAAGTTACATAGTTATTTTAATACAGGAGTTTCTTTAGTCAATCTCGTGAAACAAGTTCGCCTCAAGAAAAACCCTTTATTGGTAAGATGGTCAAGTAAAATGGAGTACTTTCACCTCCTTTGTCACTTAAGAGGTAAAAATGAACGTAAAAAAAAAAAAAAAAACAAAGTATTGATTGAAAAAGGAAAAACAAGATTATAAATTTTAAATCTTGAGAGAATTAATGGAGTGCAGAAATAGAGCTTATCCTCTACTGGTCAAGGTAAAATTTACATAAATGGACATAAATTTCATACACCATGGAAGGAGTATTTTCCGAGTCTGCTTTATATGAATTGGGTGTGTTAAGCATATAAATAGGGTTCTTTCTCTTCCTCTCTCTTTCTATCAAGATTTCAAAGACATATTGATGGTCTTCGGTATTGAGATTATGTTTGCTTTGGGGTTTTTTAATGCTTGTGATGAGAAAAATATCATGTTTGGCCTTTACATTACACAAAATCAATATCCATTATATCAACTTATTCTTAGTTTCTACGAGGACTTTCTTCTAAACTCTTGGTAAAAACCTTAAAAATAATCATTTTCGGGTCTCCATTCTCACTAAATTGATCAAACTAGCTTGAATAATATGAACTACACTCACCATAAGTTGATGATAATAAAAGATTAGTTCCATAGTTCTGCATCGAACATTAACTAGAAGCTTTATGCATAACGGTAATTCAACTCAATGCGACCAAAATCTGAAATTTAGTGATGTAGGTTTGCTTTCGGGTAGTAATAAGGGTAGGATTTGACTTAATTACTTCGAAGACTTTTTACATCAAAAAAAATTCAAGGAAGAACCCTATGTATTTGTGTCTTTCACTTTCCTGTTCTTCTCATATGAGAAACAAAAATGCATTCATTCAGGGAAAAGAGAGAGAGAGAGAGAGAGAGAGAGAGAGAGAGAGAGAGAGAGAAGCATGAAAAAGGAGGAAAAAGAAAGTAAAAAATTGGCAAATGAAAAAGATAGCAAAACAGTAATTTCATATGATATAACAATCCAGCATAATGACCTCTAGTCCAGGACCATCTGTCAAACAAAATTGAAGTCATTGTTTCTTGAAATCATTTTTCAAACCTCTCATAGGGCAATTATGCAAGAGCACATTTACAGTACCATCATACAGGTTTTTAGAAAAAGGATGGATATAATAAAAATCGAATCTCGTGTGTAGATTTCTTACTACAAGGAAGAATTACTACATACGGAATACAATCAAATGCCTCTAATAGACAATACTATACCATACCTGGGTTTACATTTGAGGTCACACCAACATAAGATACAAATGCCCCCAAGCCATGTACCAACTATGGAGACTAGCAGTTAGATATTTACTTTATCTGGTAACTAGATTAAAAAATTACCTTGTTTCAGTTAACATCAGCTACAATACCAGCCTCTTTGACGAGCTGCTCAGTCAAAGATGAAAGCTGGGCAACTTCTGTTCTGACTTTGCCAAAACATTCATTGTTAACAGCACTCACCCCAGTTCCAGCACCATTATGCAGAGTGATAATATCATAATCTGCTTCAATGCTGGAACTAGCTTTGTCCAAAAGCTTCCGACTCATTTCAGTGAGCTTATGGAGTGCACTAGTTGCAGTTTCAACTTCCAGTTGAGCTGCCTCCAACTGGAGCTTCTCAATTGCCAGATCCCCAATACTTTTTTCACCAATTCTTTCCTGTGCCAAAGCATAGAGCTTCCTCAGACCATAACTATCTTGGACCATTTCTTCCTTCATCTTCTTTAGTTCCTTATCCCTTGCATCTAGTTTTCTAAGGACCATTTTCAGTTCCTCATTTTTGATTGTGAGGGCCCTTTGTGCTGCTAGAGCTTCCATTTCCTTCGTCCTCAGGCTTTCTCTGGCAAACTCAAGTTCAGTTTCAAGCTGTTTCTTTTGCCACTTAAATGTATCATCTGATTTTTGTAACTTTTGATCCATTTCATCAAAAGGGA